TTCATAGAAGATACTTAATTAATATTTATTGATTAACAGAGCCATGGATAAGTGCATCAGTCATTTATTCTTTTGTGGGACTTTGAGACCAGAGAACTGGATGGGACTTTCAAGCTTCTTTATGAAGAATAACCCCTCATTTAAAATTTGTTTTGTGGATTTTATTCTGAACTTAACAAATAGCAAAGCAAATGGCCATTTCCACATACACCTTAGGACAGAAAAAGAGGATTTTTCATGAAACTGCAAATCTCCACTCTATATTGTAGCAATAATGATAATAACCAGCATTTATATAGCACCTTACAAATGTATCACTTGTTCCTCACTACAGCCCTGGGAGGTAGGTGCAATTACTGTCCCCATTTTACAGATGACAAAAATTGAGGCAGACAGAGGTTAGGTGTCTTGCCCAGGATCACACAGCTTATTCATTATATAATCAAAAAGAAAAGCAAACTGTATATAACAGAGATTCACAAGGCTTGCTTTTCTTTTTAAATATACAAATTCAACATGGAACATGTAATTTTCAAAGCTGTGTTGCTTGTCTGTGTTGCTTCCCATCTTCTGTTCTCTTCTGTGTATTTACAAAACTGCTTCAATGGCCCTTTTCTCTTTCTTTTCTTATGGCAACCTTCACCCCGCCCCCAAGAAATAACCAGAAAAAGGAAAACAGAACACTCATGACAAATATGAAATACAAACAGATGCCCTCATTGGCCATGATGGGAAATGTTTCTCTTAGTCTGTACTTTTAGTCCATCACCTCTCTGGCAGAAATTGGACAGTGTACTCCCCTGTTGGTCTATTGGGATTGTGATTGGCCGCTGCAGTGATCAAAGTTCTTAAGTCCGTCAAAGTTGTTTTTTCTTTACAATCTAATTCTTTCATTTTAAAGATGAATGAAATGGGACATTGAGAAGTTAAGTGGCATTACAGATACCATGTAGTTGTTAAATAAGTCTCTTGACTCCAAAATTAAAATGAAACAGAATATTCTCTTTATATATAGCAACTAACATCGTCATTACCATAGAGACATAGACAATAGTGCTTTACGTACATTATCTCATTTAATCTCTACAACCATCCTGTGGGATATGTGCTATAGTTGCTACTATCCCCATTTTATAGATTAAAAAACTGAGGCTCATAGAGGTTGTGTGACCTGCCTAAAGTTACCCACCGGTAGGTGTTAGAGGCAGGATTTGAATCCCTATTTTCCTGACTCCCAATTCAGCTCTTTATCCACAATAGCATGCTGCCCATTAAAGAAAAGCATAGTGCTTTAAGGTTTGCAAATCGCTACACGTGTTACTTGATTTGAGCCTCACAACAATCTTGTACAGTAGGTATAATCATCAATATTTTGCAGAAGGCTTAGAACGGTTAAGTGATTTGCCTGGAGTCATACGAAGTAAGCATCTGAGGTCAAATTCAGACACGAGTCCTGCTGACTTTTTCTTTCCATTAACCTTCCAATATTTTCCATGTTGCCTCACTATGCTAAAGTCCATGGGGAACTAGCGGGCTGAGGGAACCTGGATAATTGAAGGCTTCACAATCTTCCTTTAAATATTGCTAACGAATTGACTCCAGTAGCTTCCTTTTCCCTTCAGGATCAGATATAAAATCCTCTGTCTGGCTTTTAAAGCCCTTCATAACCTGGCCCTTTCCTGCCTTTCCAGTTGTCCCACCCCTTTCTCTCCCATGTACTCTGAGATCCAGTCACACTGGCCATCTTGCTGCTCCTCACAAATACCTCATCTCCCTACTCTATGCATCTGCGCTGGCTGACCCCCACATCTGGGGCTCTTTCCCTCCTCATCTTCCCCTTTTGACTTCTCTGGCTTCTTTAAAGTCTCACCTTTTGAAAGAAGTCTTTCCCAGTCCTCCCTAATCTTGCTCTCTTCCCTTTGAGATTACCTGCAGTTTGTTTCGTATGTATCTTGTTTGGACATAGTTGTTTCTCCCCTGTTAGCCTGTGAGCTCCTTGAGGGCAGGGACTGGTTTTTTTTTTCTGTCTTTATATCCCTAGAGCTCAGCACAGCACCCAGCACTTGGTAGGTGCGAAAGAAAAGCTTATTGATAACTTCTGATGGTAGTAAAGGATTAAAAAAATATATCCACAAAGCAGTCATATGCTATAAAAATCCAGCGGCCGCAGTACAGCATCACATTTTAGAGAAGCTGTTTTACCTTCAGCAGTGAAAAAGTCTGAGTCTCCAGCTAAAGCAAACTTTGCTTCTGACAATAATAACTTCTTTTGGAACCAAACCTTGAGCTACAAAAGGACCAGAGAGTTTTAACTATAGACTTTGCCTCTATCACCAGCCGGCAAAGAAAGCTGTTTGTGTACTCATCTCCTCTAGAGGAGGATTCCCAAAGGCACAGTAGAAATTTAGCAACCGCTAATACAAGGGAGGCTGGGTCCTCATTTCACTCCATGATCAACGTGTAACACAAGAGATCAGTTAAGAAGATGTGCATTTCTTTGTCTCTCATCTCTAGGGCCTCTGGCAACTCCATCATTCCACCATCATCATTTTTATAAATGAGGACAGAGAAGCACAGGGACATTATGTAATCTGCCTGGGGTCACCTACACTCAAACAGCAGGCTGAATTGGTGTTCACGGTCCCATAAGTTTCCAGTGTGACTATCGTTGCCAGCCTTCACCCCGGGGGAATGACGTAGGACTAAGTAGCTGGCAACAGTGAAGCACTTTGGGAATGCTCTAGCCTTGTATTCTGCCAAGCAAATAGCAGGATAGTAATTGTGGGTCTCATTTGATTGTCTTTCACATGGCTAATGTAGATGTATGATAACAAGCAGTAATTTCACACTTACGTGGCCAGGCCAGGTGATTATGTCCAGAGTAATGGAATGTATTGCTGGGGTGATTCCTTCATGTTTACACATTGGATGCTGAATCTTTTTATGTTTCATCATCTTTACCATATGATACTATAACAGGCATGAACTGGAGAGTTTCACATTCTCCATTTGGGCATGAGATCAAGGCACTGAGTTTTTGGCTGGCTCTGTGATTTGAAGAAGATCCAAATCAATGATCTTTCACGAGATACAATATGGCTTCTTGTGAGCCCCAATCAGCTTTGGTTTTTTATTCATTCAGCAGATATTAAGAGTCTAAAAAGTTTATTAACTCCATAATCAATAGCCAGGTGCTATGCTGGGTATATAAAGACAAAATTGAAATAGTTGCTTTCCACACTGAGCTTACATTTTATTGAAGGAGGAAGGTACATGTACAAGAATATACAAGAGGGCTGAGCAAACTAGGCCCACAGGCCAAATCTAGCCCACTGCCCATTTCTGTATGGCCTGCAAGCTAAGAATGGTTTTATAATATTATATAAAGTTTTATTATATTTAATTTTTATTGCATTGTATTTGGCCCTCAGGCCATAGTTTGCAGACCCCTAACATACAAGATATATGCAATACAGACATGAGATAATTTTTTGCATGGAAAGGCAGTAGGGTAGGGAGGGGGCGTATCAGGAAAGGCTTCGCGTAGATAATGGCACTTGAGCAGAGCTTTGAAGGAAAGCAGGAATTCTAAAAGGTGGAGGTGAGGAGGGAGAAAATTCCAGGGATGGGGAGCAGCATGTGCTAGAAATGGGGCTAGGAGGGCAGTCTGGCTGGACCAAAGAATGCACAATTGAGAAGAAAGTTGAAAAAGGCTTGCATTTGATTTTAAGTGTAATGGGGAGCCATAGCAATTATTAAGAAGAGGAATGACATGGTTAGAAATGTATTTCAGGAGTATCACTTTGGCATCTTGGCAGAGGATGGGCCGGAGAGAATAGGGATTTGAGGCAAGGAGACCACGGTGGCCTATTGTAATGAACCAGGCTGAAGGCACCAACTATGTGAGTGAAGAGAAGGGGACAGATGCAGGAGATGGTGGAAGTTCTTCTTGACATCAAGTTGAAATCTGTCTCTTTGTCCCTTCCAAATGCCGCTCCTAGTTCTGTTTTTGAGAACTACCTAGCACAAGGCTAAGCATTCTTCCATGTGCCAGCCCTTTATATAGTTGAATGTTACTATTATATTCTTCCTTGCCATCCAAGTCTTCTCTTGTCCAAGCTAAACATCCCCAGCTTCTCCCCTGATGATCATGTGATACGGTCTTAAGTCTTCTCACTATCCTGGCCAACTTCTTCTGGAAATTCTTTAGCTTCACTGTTCCTTTTCTAAATTAACTAAAACCCATGAGTATCATAGGATAATAGAGTTAGAGAGGGAAGGGCCCTTGCCCTTAGAGGTCATTGTGTCCAACTCATTTGACAGATAAAAAACATGGAGGCACAGATTGGTGAAATGACCTACCCAAGAATGCATGGGTAATACGTAGGAAAAGTGAGATTCGAACCCAGGCCCTCTGATTCAAAATCCAGTGCTCTTTCCACTGCACTATACTGTCCATTTCATAGAATCACAGGTTTAGGGTTGGACAGGACCTTAAAAGACATTTAGTCTAACATCCTTATTTTCAGATGAGACTCTGTGGAGCAAAGAAATGGAATGCTTTGCCCAGGGTCACCCACAGAGTAAACAGCAGAGGCAGGATCCAAACTCAGGTCCTCTGACTTCCAATCTAGCCTTTTGTCAATTTTACCATTTTACCTCAAAGGACTTAGGTTTGCATCCTGGCTCTGCTCCTTACTCCCTGCGTGACTTTGGGCCAGTAACTTCCAAGCCAATTGAGCCAGCATTTAATTCAATTTCATAATATCCCTGTAATCTACAAAGGAAGCCTTTTTTTTTTTTTTGCTTTTTCTGGATAAAGAAACCTGACAAATGGTTAGACTGAACAACATTCAGGCCCAGAATGAGAGGTAGGCATGGAACTTAGGTCTAGGTCCAAAAGAGATTGCCAAGCGGCAGATCAATAGTTTTGTCAGTGGGAAGCTCTAAATTATATCAGACTCCAGATAAATTTTGCCCAAGCACAAGCTTCTGGGTACCTGGTAGCCAGCAGAGGGTACGTATGAACGGGGCTGAACCAGGCTTCCTTTATTCGAGGCATGCTGTCATAGATTAAGAGGTCCTTCTCGGTCAGCATAACCAACGCTGGCTTCCAGTTCTTCTCATTCTCTCCTGGCACCTGAAATAGAACAGAGAGACTCTGTCAAAGAAAGCTGGAGAAGGGGGTGTTTGGGAGGGAGGAGTTGGCAACCTTACAAACACAGGCCCTGATAACAGGAGAGCCTATTCTTCAGGTTGAAAAAACAAAATGGGAAGAAACAGACAATAATCTTTTGGCCCTTGATCTTTAGGAGAGAAAAAAAAATACGCCCTCTTGAAAAATACCTGGTATGTCTGCTAAGTGCTACAGAAGTCAGATTCCCATGCCAAACAACAGTTTGTTGCCTTCCTTAGTTTCTTACCTGCCACTCATTCCTGAGGGCTTTATTCCATAGTTAAAAGCATAGAGGGGAAAAAAAAACATTAACAGCTGGTTCTGTGCATTTGTGCTTTACAAAAAGATGAGGGTTGAAAGCTTTGGAATGAACAAGCGATGGCCTTGAAAAATATACTAGAGAGGGAAACCTTGCTGGGTAGTTGTTAGATTTGGCAGTTGGCTTTACAACATCACTCTGATGCTTACTGCTGTTGCTGCCATCAGTTATCAGCGCGTCTCTGGGATTCAGGCAATTATCTCAAAATCTTCAGTCTATCTGGATGGCCCAGCTGACAATTCAGTAGCATCAGTGTGGTAAGTCATGGTTTCTGTTCAGTTGTTTTTCAGTCAATTCTGACTCTTCATGACCCCATTTGGGGTTTTCTTGGCAAAGATACTGGAGTAGTTTGCCATTTCCTTCTCCAGCTCATTTTACAGAGGGGGAAACTGAGGCAAACAGGGTTAAGCTGCTTGCCCAGTGTCACACAGCTAGGAAGTGTCTGAGGCTGGAGTTGAACTCAGGTCTTCCTGATTCTAGGCCTGGTGCTCTATCCACTGTGCCACAAGTTAATTATTTGTTTCACTTTTGTCTCTGTACGTCTGATGTCCATCACAGTGCCTCACATGTAGTAAGAACTTAATAAAAGCTTGCAGATTGGTTTTTTTTGGTCACATTTGTAGACCTTTCTTGATTAAGACCCTTTCATCTTGTCTCTAACTTCATCAAAGAAATCACCCACATGTGAAATTTAATCTTTCCAACTGGAACTCCAACAATAAGGGTCAGAAATTTCATATTCCACTTCTGGAAGGTTCCTACCTCAGACTTAATCTGTCACTTTGGTGAAACAATTGTTTCCGATATTTTTTTTTTAAAGTGATCTTGGGGAATGGTTAAATAGGTGGTGGTACAGAATGTAGAGGCAGGTAGGTGGCACCATAGTGCACAGAGCATTGGGCTTTGAATTGGACTCATCTTCCTGAGCTCAGTGTGGCCTTACACATTCACTAGCTGTGTGACCCTGGGCAAGTCACTTAACCCTGTTCACCTCAGTTTCCTCATCCGTAAAATGAACTGGGAGAAGGAAATGACAAACCATCTTTGCCAAGAAAACTCCACATGGGGTCACACAGTCAGACACATCTGCTTAGTCTTTCCATTACAACCCATGGGTGCTCAATAACGGTAGGAGTAAGAGAGCTAGACTCACTTTTTAGAGAAGGCCAGACCCTACCAGGTGTATTTTTAGGTACAAAGTGGATTGGAAGGTGCAGGGTTATCTTTCTTTCAATCTCTACAATAAACGTGGTCTGTCAAAAAGCACGTGAAGAGAGAACACTGGTTTTCCCAAAGAGACCTAACCATAGACCTTTCCAGGCATCACCTATGAATTTTGACTTGCAAGTGTCACCACAATGTCATTTAACTTCTATTTGCCTCAATGTCCTCAACTGTAAAAATGGGGATAATAATTGTATCTACCTCCCAGGGTTGATGTAGGGATAAAATGAGATTATACTTGCAAAGTTCTTCATAGTGCCTGGCACAGAGTAGGCCTTAAATAAATGCTTATTCCTTCCCTCCATTCCCTCCCCTCCTCCCTCTTCCTCATCTCTCCCTTCTCTCCTCTCCTTTTCTCTTCCTTCCACCTCCTCTCCCTCCTCTTTCCCTTCTCTCTTGTTCCTCTTCATGATCCTCCTCCTCCTGTCCCTTTCTTTTCCTTCTCTTCCCTCCCCTTCTTCTCCTCCCTTCCCCTCTCCTTCCTTTCCCTTCCCCTTAAAGGTGCTAGATGCTATGTTGTGCACCAGAAATACAAAACAATCTCTGACCACAAGGAGCTTACTTTCTACTGAGTGCATACAACAAGAACACAGATGAATAAATACAAAGAGAAAGTAACTGGGGGAGGGGAGGAAGAGAGAGAGAATGGGAGGAGGGAGGAAGAGAGAGAGGGAGAGAGAGAGAGAATGAGAGAATTAATTAACTGGGGATCAGGAATGACCTCATGAAGGAGGCAGGACTTGGGCTGTGCTTTGTAGAAAGTGAGAGACAAAGTGAGGAGGGAGTTCATTCTAGACACAAAGGGCCACCTTAAAAAACTATTAATTTTTAGAAATTAAGGCTTAAACTGGGAAATCACAATAGTGAAATTGAGAAAATGGCCCAAGGTGGCATAGTGGATAGAACATGGATTTGAAATGAGGTCAGGAAGATCTGAGTTCAAATCCTGCCTCAGACACTTACTAGCTTCATGATATTAGTCAAGTCATTTAGTCTTTTTCTCTGTTTCCTCATTGGTAAAATGAGGGGGTTGGACTCAATGACTCTAAGATCCCTTCCTGCTCTCTCTTTTCATACAACAGCACACATTTAAAAATGTGCCAGTAGGTGAAATTTTCAGGGCCCTGAAACATTTTTTAACGAAGCAACCCATGTGTAATGGGAGGAATATCAGACAGATCCTCTACTATGTGGATTGGGCCAGTCATTTTCCCTAAAAGGTATTGAAACCATCCTCAAGCCTTAATTGGTCCGGTGGACTAAAGGCTTGTCCACTGACATCACTTCTTGGTTTCCTGAATACAAAAGGCCATCAGGTACCTCACCCTCCTTAACACTTGGCTGGCAGACCACCATAGGCAACTCAGAGGCAGAGGAGCCAGGCTCAGCTGAACCAATGTATAGTGTCCTTATGGATATCCTTGTGGAATTGCTAAGTAAGCCACTTTTTATTAACTGTTGAATGACATAGCAGTGTCTCATTTTGTTCAAATATTGGATCCAAATGAACAAGGGGGTGGCCCGAGTCAGTCCCAGACCACCCCACCATTCAATATGGAGAAGTTGACTTCATGGCATGCATCTTTTACTTCAATAACGTTTCTGTGTTCACAGCTATCACCTTAATGTTACATAAAGGAAGAAAGGTCCTGTCCTCATGACAGTTTGATTATCCAAGGAGAAAAATATTATCATGTAGGAAAATTTGAAATCATACCTTGTATGACTCCAGATGCAAATAGCAACTTATTCAAAAGTAATATTCTTCTGTTGTTTTAGTGACAACATCTATTTCAAAGCCCCTGTTTATTGACAACTGAGATATCCCACTTTTAATGCAGCCTTCATGGAGATGTGTTATCTCTGTTTTAATAAAATGTGATGAACAAAGCGGATGTGACTTCCATCTCAATTCCAGCTTCCTGTCACTAGATGCTTCCTGAACAGGACATTTTTCAACAATTACTCATGCCTCTACTTTAATGAAAAAAGAAAAAAAATGGGAGAAGAGTAACACTGTGAAGAAGAGTTGATCCAGGAATTATTCCAATGCATGTCCTCAGGGGAAGGCAATAATGTATTTCCACCTGGCTTTCCTGGAAAGGCCTGCCATCCAGTCGATAGAACACATAGGGACCATGTATCCAAAAGGCATATTTAAACTCAGGGAGTGGCAACCAGCTTTCCTCCATCACCAATGGGGATGGAACAAGAAGAAAGGGCTAGAAGCGGTTGCAGTGCGGAAGGAAGGGTTTCAAGCATACTTAGGGAATAATCTTTTCCTTGTTAAGTAGTAGATTTACATGCAATCTTAAAGTTGGAAGTCACCTGAGAGATCATAGATGTCAGTTTCTCTCCCAATGGAGGAATCAGCTCTATTATGCCTCTGACACAGTTCATTGCTCTTGTTTGAGTTCTTCTCGGGACATAGAGCTCATTAATTTTTCAGGAAAGCTGCTCTGTTGGATGACTGCATTTTACCATGTCACTTCTAGTGGCTCCCTATTCCTTGTAGGATAAAATACCAACTTCTTTGTTTATCTTTTAAAATCCTTCATAATCTGGTGCCAGCCTGTCTTTCCTGCATTATTACACACTTTACTATCTAGCCATAGGACCTTGAGATAGTCCTATTGCCTCACTGGGCTTTACTTGGCTCACTGGTAAAATGGAATGGTTGAATTTGATAGCCATGCGGGCCCCCATGCCTCTCAATACATGATTCAAAAAATGCTTCAAGGTAGGTTGGAGCCATTTTGGAAAGTGGTCGGGGTAGGGTGCTTACTAAGCACTTTGGATTTTACCCTGGAGGCAATAGGAAAGATACCAAAAGGTTCTAAGAAGGGGAAAGACATGGTCAGATCTGTACCTTAGCAAGATTTGGAAGCTACATGGAGAATAAACTGGGGAGGGAAGAGACTAAGGACAAGGAGGATAATTAAGAGGTTCTTAGAGCAGTTTAATAACGAGGTATCAGGATCTGAAAAAAAGCTTGATTGGTGGTCAAAAGGAATAAATTATAATGGAATTTTTTAAAAGACTGGTCACTGTGTGATTATTTTTTTAAATGTTAAAAGTAGAAATAAGCTAGGAACACAGATCATTTATTAATCTAAAAAGGAATACAATAGTTTCCCAAATTAGCAGAAATCCAGGAAACAAGACCTGCAGCACATAAAATCTCAGTTGAATACATAAAAGGCCATTTTATACTGATAATTGTTAGTGTAACAGTTTGTTCCAAAGACCAAGTACTGCAGCGAACAGGACAAAAAAGTAGGGGGGGTAAGCAACCAGGTGGGTTGGAAAGACCGTTGGTGTTTCTGTGGGGCTGAGGACTGTGGACATTTTGAGAACAGGTGCTGCAACATACTAGTATAAGCAATCCATCTCTATCAACAAGCATTTATTAAGTACCTAC